TTCTTCTGTTTTTAAATATGCATGTCTGTAAAGAAGAATCTAGGCCTGAAGTTATGTAAAAGCTTGATTTTTCATTTCGTCCTAATTGTCCTCCGGTGGTGGAAAAGAACTACCCTTTATCCAACACATCTTCTCATTTTGAGTCTATTAATTTCACCCTCTTCAGGTGGTTAACTATGTTACACCTGGGATAAATTGTCATGATGCTTCCATTGGAACAACATCCAGATTTTACCCTTGTAAAATCTGGATGTTGTTCACATGTTGTTTTTATGTTCAGTACCTTATTTCTCTCTCTCTCTCTGCCTCCCTCCTTCATTAATTGCTCCTTTTTCTCTTCTCCTTGCATTTCCGTCACTAGATCATTACTTTCTTTGCCAGTTCCCTTTCACCTACCTCCCGTATTTCATTATTACACACAGCCTTTCCTGTTTTGTACCTGTCCAATTTTAAACATGCTGCTCATTTTCACCTCTGTTTGTGAGCAAATATAGCAACTTCAAAGAGATGAGCAGGTGATGTAAGAGGGCGGGTTAAACAAAATGACTGCTTGAAGGCACAAGAGAGTTGTGAACTCCAAGGGCATAAAATGGAAGAAGATGAGGATGATGTAAACATAATATAACATGTAAAAATGTATGCAGTGTTCAAGAATAACTGTTTGGTAATGTATTAATACCTCTTTGTCGTGTTCCCACTTTGTCAAGTTGCAAGTGTATTTCAACTGGGATTTTATACAAACTAATTGCAAATCAACAAAAAAAAAAATTGCACAGGGGAAGGCAAGTTTTTTTTTTTTTTTTTTCAAAACTGCCGTTGCTTTATTAGCATGGTTCAATGTCACAAAAGTTTGTGCATATTCATGTGCAGGGTTAAAGATGGAGAATGGCACACTATTTGGTTACAGAAAAAAGGTAACTTTTGTTTTACCTTTTTGTTATTAAAGTTACCTTAGCATCACACAATGTCTAAGTAAAGGAAAAAAAAAAACTTTCACAAGCTATGCCTGTTTTTCTCCAACTCTGGAGAGAGCATTAGGTAACAACATGCAACCATAAATTATTAAGAATCAGGAAGACGGAACGGTATAAATAATCTCCCTATTAATACAAAATGCATAGGCACATCTGAACGTCTGTCTCTGTGTGTAACTCTTAGGGTAAAGACTTAGTCATTTTTTTCTGTATTGCTTTAATTTACCAATTCCTATGAGCCATTTACACACACACAGAGAGAATAAACCTCATAAGGAGAATGTGCAAACATCTTGGCTTAGACTTTTCTCTGCAGGTGCAGTTCAGGGATGTTCTTCCAATAGAAGATTTCTTGAAAGAAAATACAGTGACTGTTGGAAATTCAGGGGAGAATATCTGTGGGGCCGTCTGTCTGCAGCATCCAGGAGGCGGATGAGAGGTCTTGTTGAGATGACATTATTTATTTACAAGAAAGTATCTGACAACGCCCAAACATTGAGTGGTGAATAAAAAGCCTAAGCAAACAAGTCGAGATAAAAAAAATAAATAAATAAAAAGAATAGTAATGACTCCTTATGCTTATTTCAGGCTTATCACAAGCAAAGTCGACTGTCCACATAATATGCTGAGGAGTTCTGCTTTAAATCCTCAGACCACCAAACCGACAAATTTACTTGTCCTTCATGTGGACAGGATTCTCAGGTTAGTATGCAATAATGTAAATGATTTATTTATGACCACCTGGCTTTTGCCTGCAAGGTTATTTACTTGGATGTGTGTCTAAGTCACTGAAGTTGCACATTCTGTAAGGTCGTCGCCACATAGTTCCTAAAAGTCTGGGCATCTTGGAATAACTCTGAGGATGCATTCAGGCACCCTTTCTGCAAAGGCAACCTATGAAGGTAATTGGCCTTTTAACTGTTGAGATTCTTTTTAGTTATGGCTTTGGAATATTTTGTGTATATGAAGTGATGCATGGGACCAGTCACAAGAGCTTGCAATACTTCAACTGAATTTTAAATTTGATACACCGAAGGCTTTTCGAACAAACACAATCAAGTCAAAATGAGAGCTGTGAATTCTCTGTCAGAATAAAATCAGTACTAATATCCAAAGAGTGGCCAGTCTGGTGTTCAATTGTGGTTCCCTGGCAAATGATTTTCACAGTTCCTACTCATCTCGTCCTGAAGCTAAAGTATATCTTCTTGGGTCTGCATCACACTATGAAACATGCCATGCTCAAGGTCTCGTAAATCCCTTATTTCTGGAGTTTGGTTTGAACTTTTAAAAAAATCATTCTTTTGAGTGGCTGATTTACTATTTCTGTTAACAATTACACTAGTTTTACCTAATTAGGTGGCCAGTAGGTGCATTTAATATGGTTCACTTCAGATTTCCCTTATTGAGTATGATTGACAACCTCATTCTAGTTATCCATTTCTTGGCAATAGAGTACATTATGCAAATTGATTAAAGATCTTTTTCACTGAACAGGAACACACCTCCACTCTCCGTAAAATTCTCCCTTTTAAGAAACATCATTCATTATTGCCTTTTCCTCTTACTGGCTTTTTAACTTTTTACCTTTGTTCCCATTTTCCCCATTTCTTTTTACCCTCTTCTCCTCTTCCCCATTCTTTGGCTTCTCTCTCTCTCTCTCTCTCTCCCTCTCTCTGTTTCTCCCACAGCATGACCCAATTTCCAGCAGCAGCCAACGCAGACATCTGGGCTTCAGCTCACGTGCCAGAAATGGCATGACACCCCTACTGCGGAGGGAGGTTTAAGATGAGCGGAAAGGAGAGGGTTTTTGCAGAGACAAAGATCTTTGCGAGATAGGTGAAAAGCAAGATGTAGAGGTTGTGGGAAACTGGATAAGATAAGAGAGAGAGAGAGAGAAAAAAAACAAATCTGAATGTGATAAGCAGAGATGAGAGTAAGAATTGGGTTGGACACACTGAGGCAGGAAAAAGAAGAACGTTCCAGGGAGAGAACAGGAGATGGAGGAAAGTTGACAGGCAAAACTCAAGCATGCACAGTTTGAGGTAGGAAGGCAGCAGCTGTAAAATGGTTATTAGTTGTTAGAGTTAGCATGGCTTAGCAGGGTCACAGTAGTAAGGCTGGCTAAGTCACTGTGTAATCTCTGTGTTAACCTGAGATCCTGTCGAGTGCATGCACATCAGCCACAAGCTGCATTCCTGACAGATGCGCACATTCTCCTTCCATGCAGCGCTAGAAAAAAAAGAAAAGAAACAAATCTATATGAGCTTGGTCTGAAAAAAAAGGTGTTTTACAGTGCGTAAGTGTATGGAGAAAAGAAGACTATTTCTATTATGGAGAATCAATTGTGCAGGCTTATCTAGCACAAGCCAGAACTAGAACCTTTGAATGCAAACATGCACTGGCAGACAGTTTGCTATTTAGTTGGAGACAGATTATGGGTTCTTAAAGAGCATCCGGCAATTTTGGTACAATATGTCTGACAAAAAGACAAATGGCTCTTCTTACTAACCCCTGATTTCATGTGTATTTTTTTTTCATTGAGCCCTTTACTTTGTTTAAACTCCTGTTGTCCTTTAAGTCTTTTCATGTCAATCCTTTTGTCGCGTATTTATCTCTCGCTACGGTTTTACTCACCTCCACAAATCCATCTTATCCCTTCAAGCACTTCATCTTGTCTTTTTTTTTTTTTTTCATTTTGCTGCCTTTTGTCCTCCAACCATTTGTATGTTCCTGTCATTCCCCCATCGTTTATAAATCACACAGGTCACATTCTGTTGTCTTTTGATTCCTTTTCTCCTCTAACGGTTTGACATTTATTTGATCACTGCTGACCTTCCAAGTAAGAGACCTTCAAACTGATGGATTTACAAACTCTCTGTCACTCATGAAAAACAACATAATTGTATAAACAAGGTTACTTTTTGCTTTTCGTTGCAGAATCGGCACCTTAGCATTGTGGATTTGATGTGCTCACGATATGGGTGTGTGTTGCTCAGGTCTTCAGCCAATTGGGATCAGGGAAGTGGAGACTGAAAGAGAGGGTCCAAGCTTTTGTTGATCACCTCCTACAAGTGCGTTTAACTTTAAGCCATTGGCTAGGTAACCTGCAAAATAGAACTTAAAGGTGAAGATAAACTGGAGACATGACAGAGAGAAAGAGAGGGAGAGGCCAACTAAGGGTGCATAATGTTACAAAAATAGAAGTAAAAAAAAAGTATGCTACAGGGAAGGTACTGTTGGAAGTACTTTGTCAAAAAGATATCTCAATTAAATGTAACTGAGATGTAGCTAATTGCTTCCCACCTTTGCTAAAAAAAATAAACATCTTAAACACACGCGTTTCCTTTTAAATAGAAAAGCAGGATAAGAGCCTTAGGTAAGTGCTTTGACTCTGCACAGTAGTTTACCAGTGGTTGCTGCAAGACTAAAAGAGATCATGCCAAGACAGAATATGTGTGATGTTGGTATAGTGCTTTTGGCAGAAAAATCCCCCCAAAAACAATAAAAGATGTGATGCAGAGCAGGCTCTTACAACAATTTAGCACTGTTTGTTGGAACAAAATGAGGAAAAATAACAGTTCACCAAATCTATGCCAACACTTGGTTTTCATTGCATGAAATGCTGAAGCATAGGGGTTATAGGGATATAGATCACAGAACTGTCGCTAAATAAGACCCCGTTTGCTGCACTGTGGGTTTCGATAGTAAAAGAAATTGATTAAGATGGGAGTTACAATCAGCATCATTAAATGTAATGCGCCCACAGTTAATTTAATCATTCTCTCCGTTCCTAATGTAATGGAGAGTTAGGGCCTGCTGGTATGTGGATTTGAGACTTACTATAAATTATTTTTTTTGTGTTCAAAGTGATGAAAAAAAAAAACTTAATTATGAATAAACAGAGTTGGGTTCTAGAACGCTTTCAAAAAAGGTAAGCTGAAACTTGTGGTTTTAATTTCACACTCTTCACTTTATCTTTGCAGTATTTGTGTGCCATCATGTGATTAACATTCTTAAAGTTCTACTGCTATACCTAACATATGTTAGGTATAGCAGTATACCTATGTATACATATGTTAGGTATAGCAGAGGAAATGGTTTCCTCTTTTCTGTTTCTAGATGTCGACACACTCCTTGTTGCTCAGTATTTATTTTCCCTGTGAAACTCTTTCTCCAACTTCCTCTTTCAGTAATGTTTAATTTAGGCGATGTTTTTTCTGCATCCCACACTGAGGTCGGGTCAACAGAGAAAGTAAATAAGGAGGTGAAGAAAATGTAGGACGGTTTGGATAAAAGCACAATCAGGAGGTGTGGATCCAAAGCGTGCGAGTCTGAGAGAGGGAGGCAGAGCGTGTAATGGAAGAAAAAAAATATATATATACATACACAGACAGTTTGCCATCTGGTCCCATTGAAATTGGTTAAGACTAAATGCAGATGGTTGCCCAGTAAATCAATATAATCTGGTTGAAGTGATGACTTTAGAGGTGGAAACCATGAATGGCTTTGCTGATTTAAATCACCTCTCTCAGTTCAGTGACTGAGTAGGTCATTCGTTCACTTTTTGCTGAAGGTTAGTGGCTTTTTTTCCCACATTTTGGATGCACTTCAGTTTACTGCATGAAAGATACTAATATTGGGAACAGGAAAAAAAAATACTACAGCATCACACAAAATACAACAGCTTTTTAAATGGAAGTCGCGGCTACTTTAAGCTAGCATTGCGTTAAAATGCTTCAAATAGATATCGCTAAAACAAACATACATCATACATAGTCAGGGATTAGTTGTGGAGAAATTTAGAGGTTTATAGTTTCCCAAACTATGATAATGTCACAGAGCATTAATGAACCAGTCTTCTGAAAATGAAAACAGCCCGACACAACACCAAACCTACCAAGACATGACCGGCAACCTAAACTTGACAGGCTGGCCCGAGAAAAGTGTGGTTGCAGCATCATGTTGTGGATTCGTCTTACTTCAAATGGAGAAACTAGTCAGAACTGATGGGAGGATGTATAAAGCAAAAATACAGGCAAATCCCAGAAAAAAACCTGGAGATGACTTGAGAATGGAGGAGCCTTTCAATTGGACAACAGCCCTGGGCATGCAGCCTGAGCAGCAATGGAGGGATCAGGATCAAAGCATATGCATGTGTTAAAATGGTCAGTAGGAGCCAGGAATGAATTTAAAATATGTCAAGAAGTAGAAAATAACTTTTAAATCACATTCAGTCTGAATGTTTTTTTTTTTGTTTTTTGTTTTGCTAAGAAGAACATTGCCATAGAAATTTCTCAAAGGTGTCATGGTTTTGATGTTTTTATTTGTGAATAACATTATGTTGGTTCATTTCATGTCACAATCATGCAAGATCTTGCCTTGATCGGATACATAAAATAGGATACATAAGAGGTTTCAATTTCAATGTGTAGCAAATTTTGTTAAAGTACAACTCGGCAATGGAATAGTTTTGTTTTGTGAAGTTCCTTTTTGAGGCGTTGCACATTTTGAAAGTTAGAAAAGTATAAGGGAGCATATGAAGAGAAATAATTCTACACCGAAACATAATGTATATGTTGTCTTACTGCTGGGAATTCTGAATTCATCTAAGGAGGTCAAATCTTAGGTTGTATAAAACGAGAAAAATATGTCTTAGCCATTGCTCATCCTATCCACTAATAAAAACCTCACCTTCTGTGTAACTATCTGAACTTCTTAAACCTTCTTTTGTTCATGCTGAACTCCACAAAAACACAAGGGCAAAAAAAAAAAAAGAAAAAAAAATCATACTGTTGTAAAGCAATGCAATGGCTAAACCTGTAAAAACGCTGTGGAAGCACACAGTGTGACTCCTGAGGATAGTGTGCAGACTGCGCTTTAAAGAATTGTCAGCTGTGAAATTAGCACACAATTATCCAACCTTGCTGAGCTCAACACAGTTAACATCTGTTTGGAGCCTGTTGGACTTGGAGCGCTACACCTGATCCGTTGAACTGCAACAAGGCACACCTGTACCCGTCCGCAGACTCTCCCACCAACACCACCCACAGAGGTTCATCTCTGTGGACCTGCATTCCTCTCTGTTATGTAGTATACCTTATGTAAAACATTCTTCATTTGATTTTATAGGTTGCTAGTTTATACACACACGTGCTAATCTATTTTACCCCTAGACTTCACAGACGTTTCCAAATACAACTCTTTTACTTTTTGCTCGTAGCGACACGCAGGAAATATCATCTGATGGCCTTATGAGTTAGACACAATTATGCAAGGAAAACACAAAAATAATTAGTGGGCTGATTAAAAGGTTTGACGGTCAAATGACGATAAGAGAAGCTTCTACCCTTGTGCACACAAGAGGCAGCGGCGCCTCGGTGCGAATCTGTAGCTGCATTTAAGTTGAGTCACAGTGTGTGAGAAACGAAATGCTTGATTGACAGTTCAACCAAGTCAGCAACATCTATTTTAGTAAGAGTGGGCATGCACATTCCCATATTTTCCAGAGTACCAGAAGGTGCCCTTGATAGGGTAATTATTTTATGCCACTGTTGGATATGTGTCCCTGTGCACAGGTATGCCTGTGTGTGTATGTGTGTGTGTATGTATGTGTGTGCACTTTTCCCTTGTTACCATCTGTTCTCCTTTGGCTGATGATCATCTATCTCCCATT